ATTCAGCCAAACTCACCACCCTTTTTAGCATGTGTTCTACAGCCGGATTGGAGAAAATCAAGGATGACCATATATCTATACCGCAGACCAATACTTAGTGGGTCTCATTGGGGTCTAAGCGTGACGCGGGATTGCCGATTTTTTGTAAGCGTGACACGTGAAAGTCAAATTATTGTGCCGTGAAAACAGGAAATGAAGTCTAGCAGGACACGGGAAATTAAAAAAAAAAATGAGAATTGCTTACGTACATAGTGTAAGCGGGATACGGGAATCTGACAAAACAGTAAGCGGGATCCGGGATCAGAACCCCCCAATGAGACCCCCTACTTAGGCATATTTGTAACCATTTTATATACTTACACACAAACCAACTCTATCTTCCAAAATTATGAAATTGACTCTAACAAGATGTTTTTAAATACCAAAAAGACTTAAAATATATACTTATGCCTATTTCAAGAAGAATCAATGCTAATAAGCAATCTGATTAAAATTCAGACCAATATTAACTCGCGTGCTCGTACATCAGAGAACTATATTTTAATTAGATTGTGCTAATAAGCAGAAAATCTAAGCATTTTATTTTGCATATAAGAACAGCTATATATATTTAGTTTTAAATGGTTCAGTATGGGGAAAGAAAACAACTTTCACGCACACAATGGCCGATGTAAAATACTACGACCTTGGCAGTTAGGTTAGAACGACCTCATCTGAATACATTTATTCAAAATTTATTACCCTAAAGAAAATTTGTAAAATAATAATGTCAATTTTTTTATCCATTTGTCAAGATTGTTGCTAAATTGATCATTAGTTTTTAAAAGACAAGGTCAGCGTTTAATCCGAGATTTTATGTAACCTCTGCCCCGCACCTGGTTTTAACAAACACATTAACAAAGTTTGATGCCTACAAATGAGCTGTTATGCATTAAGTACTGCAATGTAACAGGTGACAATGTCTTAATCATTGAATCACAAATAGAATTTTGTCACGTTACTATCATTTTTACAAAGATCATCGTTTATCGAGGTGCTTTGGGCATTACTTCTTAGAAAAATACTATTCTGCTCTTTGGTCGGGTTGTTGTCTCTTTGACACATTCCCCGTTTCCATTCTCAATTTTGTTCTCCATGAAAAAATCAATTTCGAACCCCCTCCGATTACTTATCCCACATCCCTTTCCAAGAAGTATGACGAAGGCTCTGGTTTTCATTGGTTAAATTTAGTGCGCTTCATCTATTCTTTTCCGCACTAATACAATGATAGCGGATTTATTCCTCTTTGTTCCTGGAGAGGCATGGTCATTACAACAACCTATATATTTACTCTAACGCCTGTTCTGTTGAAGATTTATGTATCATTATTATGTTATACTTATATGAAATTTATAATGGTCATTTTTTTTGGGGTGTGTATTTTTAATTATTCGGTTTTATATAAACGAAAAGAGACATATACAACAAAAACAACACTTGAATAGGAACTCCGTTTATAGATATTCAAATATATATAATCTTGGAATTACAAGCAGTTCCTGCTAAAATGACATTGTTCTGTCCAGCTTTTAGTTTATATGGTAATGTTATTCCTCTTAAATGTCGATTTAAGCTTCGTATAACATGTAACCGTCTTGTTTTTTTACGTAAAGTTCTATAGAAATAATGCCTCTGTCGTATTTCTTGCGGATGAAACTATATATCTGAGAATAATGTTTCGATTTTTTTGTATCGTAAAGGCTTTTATGCTAAAACAAGCATGCGTTTCAAGCATCTTAAAATTGCTTTACCTTTGTAGAATGATAGAAGAGACCATAACTCACGATATATATATGTTGTATATGATAACATCCTCGTATTGTATCAGCTATTCTGTTTTTGTGCACTTTTCATTTAAAGTTTCCATTTCGCTTTGGAACCTTAGTTTATACATTTGCACCATATAGTTTTTTTTTAGTACAAGAATTGGCTGAAGCTCGTAATAAATGGTTAGAAAAATCCCATATATACAGTCAATGAAACCAGATAAGGTTTTAAGTTTTTTCTATTACCTATTTAGGGAACCTAACAGAGCTCACTCTTATATTCCACTAAATGTACGTTAACTGCGCTCACAAGTATGGGGGAGTTGGATTACGGGAACGACCTGAATAAGGAAAACATAAAAAACCAAGAAACACTCTGGTAAAGTGCACCTGGATTTAAAAAACAAAAGATAATAAAATGGAAAAAAAATGAAATAAAAACATAGAGAGAGCAATTTGTTAATGTTTCTTTTTCTTAGCATCACATTAGTTACCTAGGAATATCTAAGTTGTTGCAGCAATGTAAATGTCAGCCATTTCAGTCTGTGTATGTTCTTATTTCCAAACATTAGACCGACTTACCCGCAGACTAATTTTTACGATGTTACATTTGAAAACGACATACCGAAGAGCCTGGAAGTTAAACTGGAGGCTCTAAAGAGCCTGTGTCGCCCGCCTAGGTCTATGTGCATTTTCAACAATGGTCACTCACCAACATTGTAGACTAGAATAGAATTATGACCAAAATCTCTTATATGTTGATCTGGTATTGCTGATAATTTTTTCTGTTTACTAGTAGTTTCTCTCTATCTTCTTTAATTTTTGCCCAAAACACAAAAGAGGGTACAGACATTGTTATTTAAGGACAGCTACTCCTAGAAACAGTCCAATAACTATATTGGTAAACTTTTTGACTTATTTGTAGATCTTGTCTTGCTGATAATTTTTGCTACTTAAAGTGTGTACTTATCTATCATAGTTTTCAAGATAACAAGAAAAAACACTAGAAATAGGTAAAAATTGTCATTAAAGACCAATAACTCCAATAACGAGTCGACTGAAGATTTCGGCCATTATAGATATTTATATATCTTCTCATGCTGATCATTTTTGCTTTTAAAGTTTTCTATCTATCTATTGTATTTTCAAAGATATAATGCACAAATCGTTATCAAAGGGCTATAACTCTAATAAGGTGTCGTCTGACGATTTCGGAAATGTTTGACTTATTTGTATATCGTGTCTTGCTGATCATTTTTGCTATTCAAAGTTTCTCTCTATCTATTATAATTTTCTCTATTTAAAGCGGTTTTTAAAATAACAGACAAAACTTGCATTTGACCCCTATGTTTAATTTTAGCCATGTTGGCCATCTTGGTTAGTAGGCGGGGTCATCGGACACATTTTTAAACTAGATAATTCGGGCCAGGTGAGCTAAAACGATACAATCACAGAAATGACATTGTAAGAAACAACTAACCATTATATGAGGAAAACTGGCATTACAGCATAACGACTAACAACCACTAACGACTCTAACACCAGGGGCGTGTTTTTTGTTCTTCGGTAGTAAGCCAGAAGAGGTCCATTTCTGTTTTTTTTTGCATTGGGAACTTCTGTCTCTCTTCTACCTCTTCCTTTTAAATTTTTTAGACGGCAGAGACACATAACAAACATGGCGTCGTTTAGTCTAAATGACACTAATAAATTTATGAATTCAGATATAATAGAATGTAAGCTGAGTGATAAACGTTTTTATGGTATGGAAGCCTTAGTAGGACATCCCTGTAGGGACGATAAGCTGGATAGATATAAGAACTACACGGACAATAACAGTAAGGGGACGACTATTTGATATTCTGGGGAGGGGAGGGGGCAGGAGGATTTTTTTGCGGATTTATTATTCATTTTAATCTGTCGCTAAGCATGTCTATTTTTTCAGCTCTTACCAGGACACCAAATTATATTCTCCTCCCCCCTTTCCCCCAAAAAAATCAAATGGTTTTACCCTTATTTAACACGAGTTTAGATTGATTGATTGTTGGTTGCTTATTTGTAACGTCCAGTGACAAATATTGCATGCATGTTCAGGAAAACACGAGTTTAAAAGTCCGGTATATAATATAAAAATAAGGAGATGTGGTATCATTGCCAATGAGGCAACTATCCACCAGAGTTCAAATGAAGTGGATGTAAGCAATTATGAGCTACCGTACAATGAAAAAACCCATACCGTATAGTCGGCTATAAAATGCCCCGACGTGAAAAATGTGAAACAATTCAAACGAAAATACTAACAGCCTAATTATATATAACAAAACAATTTACAAAAATCAAATATGAGTCGACAGACATGAACCAACGACCACCACTGAACTACAGGCTCCTGACTTTGGGACAGGCACATAAAGAATATGACAGGGTTAAACTTGTGTGTCAGCGCTCAACTCTCCACTAAACTGGGACAGTGGTGTAACAGTACAAGAAAAGAACAAACTGTAAAAATAAGTTCAAATTGGATTGATAACATAAACAGTACCAAATTTTCTGCACCAGATGTGCATTAACTCAAAAGATCGGTACGAGACACACACACAAAAACAACTCACATTAAGACAATAGACACAAAGCACCGAAATAAGAGTATTTGCAGTTACTGAAAGCTTGTTCAAAGCCAATTAAAACTAACAAATAAATCATGTCCTTTGAGACTAAAGTATCAATCAGTACATAACCAACGGATTTAGTCATAAACAGTCTGAGAAACGCATGACCTTGTATACCTTCAATGTATACACATACAACTAAGGTTCTCGAAAAGTGGTGGTCCGAAGGTTTTGACCACCAAAGTTTTGCAAGGACCGACACAATTTTGGTATTTTGCAGTAGAAATAATACTAGTAGTTAGGACCAGCAGATTTTCTTCAAGGACCACCAGGAAAAAAAAGATTGTGAGAACTCTGCGGATATTTTGTATATGCAAAAATAATCCAGTTTGGTTATTTTAAAATTTTTGATATACAAGATGTCCTTTTAGATCATATACCAGACAAATATTGACAAATTATTATACAGGTTAAGATTATACCTGAAAATCAAATGGTCGGAGCTTTGAGCCATATTCGTTTAGCTAAATTAAGTTAGGAAAGCATAAAGAAAAAATGTCACGAACACAGCGATTTCTTCCAACCAATTTTCTTTATTTTTACACTTATTACATAATTACATCAATGCCAAAACAGAGTACACTATTACAGGATTTACAGTCATGTCTACCGAATGAACTGACGTAACTAAATTTTCTAATAAATCATCATAAACTTCATTTATGTCACCCAACATAAAAAAAATTATGCTATATTCGACGGCAAATTGAATTTGTTTTTTATTGCTTCTTCTACAGAATATCCCCAGAAGAGGTCCAGATTCATTTTTTTGGACTCTTCACCAGAAGACATTCTGGAGATGTACGGAGATGTACGGAAGAGACCATTAAAACACGCCCCAGATGCTCAAACAGGATTCGCACCTCAAAAAAATATTTCCTCATAAAAACAAAAATACAATAATATTTATTTTTTGTCCATACACACTAAGTACCGAAGGGCCATTACATCACAATGCAGACTCTTATATTGTTTTGGACTCTACAAATTGTAAATAAACAGTACTTACAAGAACCAACTATAGGTTAAACCAGTTTCACTCTAGATGTAATGTTGCCGGTTAAAGTGTACTCTGAAGACTATAGCTTTTCGATCGGAAAATGCGGGATTGAAAACTCAATTTTTACTCTATTGACATTTTTTACATTTACATTGATTTACGTTTTTACAGATTACATTATTTAAAAAGTACGATATATATAAAACATATAATTACAAATTCAACATAAAGTGCAATGCCCCGTTATCCTACATCAGAAATAAAACTAGTAGATTTATAATAATATTGATCAACAAAGTACTAGCTGCATGTTCATATTCATGAAGTCGTCTAAATGAATTGAAATCCAAAAAAAAATTATAGAATTATAAGGCCACTCCAAATTGATTCATACTTCTTCGGATTCGCTCGTTCACAATGTTGGAAATTAAAAAAAAAAAATACATTACTGGCCATTCCCTGAAGACTTTCTGAATTATCGCTCCATTTAAATGAACTCAACAATTTTCATTTTCAAATTATCATCGTTCGTCCACAATTCACAGAAAATTGATGTTTAAAAATATTTCTCACTCACCAAAACAAGTATTTAACTTGGAGCGGCATACACATTATAAAGGAAAGGGGGTGCAATGTCGATTCCTTTGGGCAAAGTATACGTAATTGAGCTATTCGTTTTGCTGTCTGAATCATTAAAGTATAAGTAATGATTGAACAACATGAAAAAATACGAGTCTGCAGTCGACGCCGTCATGATGTTAAGAATGTTTCGTTCACTAGATACATATACTGCCTAATTATTTTTCAATGAAAACAAATCCGGTGATGCCATAATATTTTCTCATCATCAAAACGGAAATGTTAGCAGCAATAACATATCATATTTAAACACGACACTGTGGGCCGAATGTCGACAAATTGCAAATTAAAATGTAAAAAAAAAATATTTTTCTCCGCTTTTTACGTACATTCCTTCTATCTTTAGATCCTTTTGTGTAAAAAATTTAAACTCGAAATACAGTTAGATAACGCTCACTTCGCCTTGAGAAGTAACTACATGCCGTCCACACTATACATATGCAGCAACATCAATACGCAATACGCGACAGTTATTATTCTTACAGCTACCCGAAGCTGTGAACAGATATGTCTTTATTTTTCCTGATTTGCACTCGGCACTGATTGATTACAGCCTTATTTTCACTGTTTCTAACATGCAGTGGAAGTCTTTCTTAGAAATGCGTAAATACATTTCTGAGTTTCAATGAAAGAGCTAGTGTAACTATAGTTCAAAATATCACGACAAGTTATATTTACCAAATCGTGTTTTGAAGGCTTTAATAAGGTTTATACTATCCAACATTATAATAAACAGGAAAACAGTTATTAAAATTATCAAACCACTGATACCCAAATAACGGACGGATGTTCGGTCATCAGTGGCTGAATTTAGCTTTCTAATGGAGGACGATAACTTCCGCTTTTCAACTCGTAGTGACGTTTGCAGGTCAACTAATCTTTGTTGTATTTTCTCCTCTGTATTCAGAGAATCAACGGAACAAGGACAGTAACACGAATCACCAACTGTAGTATCTGTCCCTGGATTAGTGTTGTACACGTCATCAATTTCTGTTGTGACGGTATTTCCTGTTGTTTCTTGATTAGAGTTTGATTGTGTTGATCTGATTGTTGTATCAGGCATTGTTGCTTCGTCTGATGTCACTGTTGATCCCTTTTGTATCAAACTTGGAGTTGATTCTGCAGCATCTGGAGTGATTGTGTTGTCAACACCATCAGTTTCTGTTGTGACGGGTTTTCCTGTTGTTTCCGTAGAGCGTTTTAAAACTGTACTTGTAACGGTAACATCTGCATTTTCTGTTGTCTCTGTTTTTGAAGTTTCCTGTAACTGAAGCATGGTTGTAATGGTTTCTATGGCTGCTGTTGAGGTTCTTGGCTCAGCTGTTGAAGTTTTAGGCTCAGTTGTTGATGGTCTTTGCTCAGCTGTTGACGAATCAGTAATTGGTGTAGTCGAATATGCTACAATATAAATCAAAACATTTTTATAATACATTTTAGACTTATCAAATGATAGTCTTTAGTAATGACAATTTTTTACTGTTGGACTTTTGAACGACTTCAGTGCAATGATCACGGAAAGGATAAGTCACGGTTACTTATTAAAGATCATAGAGATCAAAGCTGTTACGATTAACCAGTATTACTTCGTGAATCTTTCATTGGTGTTTACGAACATCCATGCAGTGGAATCCCTTGTTGTTTTTGAACATCTTGTTGCAAAAAGTTTCATTCATGTAATCAGAGGGAAAACCAACTGTACAATGGATTAATATTTTATACGTTCTGCAATTGGTTTTAGCGACGGGATAGTCAGTAAATTTTGACTGGCACTGGGAAAGAGAACACGGTGTATATATAGATTTGAAAATTTTGCCTGTCAACAGGCAACTGTATTATACGTGACCTTCTTTAATTTTGTTTTACATTTTTTTGATTTGCTGAGAGCGTGACTACAGGCACACAACGTCGAATCTCAAATCTTCATTTTTGATGGACATAGATTAAGGGAAAAGCAAGATTTTGATTGGTCAAATACCAGACTATTTAAAAAATTCATGTAAGTTTAAGCGCTACGTCCAACAGACAGGGAACAATGTCATCGTTAGTGCGAATATTAGAGCGCCCACTCATTATTTTTTTTTGGGGGGGGGGGAGGGATATTCCCCCCACATGAATATTTACTTTCAATCATTGTGAGAATCGAGTAATTATTATTAATACTGAAATATTGCATAAATATTATTTTTTCATGCACAACCCTTTCCAACATTTTGCGGTGATGATGTTTATTTTGAAAGATTACCTGTTTTTGCTAGTAACGATGTCAGGTGGACTTTTTTCATATCTCCTCCCCATTCCCCCAATATCCCATTCCCAAATATCTGTCTTACTCCATGTATATACATGTTCGTCCTAACTATTCATGCAATTATCTACATTCTTTTTGATTTGACATATGATTAAATCTAGTTATATAGTTTTTGAAAATTAGTTTACAGAATTGATTTTAACTTTCTTTTTAATCATCATCAATAAAATATACATCGTATAGAAAAGAAATGTACTTATGCAAATCTTCTATTCAGAGAACCTATTGGCCATCAAACGATTCATGACCTATTATCAAAAACTTTCCTCCTTTTAATCTTTCCTTTTACACATGACCGATTTGTCTTTCAGCAAAATCGAATACTCAAGTACCATATTCAATAAATAAAGATAAATCTGAAGTAACTCAAATCTTTATTGATATTTCTAGTAATTCGTTTGCATTAATTTAAAATGCAATACAATTATTTATCTATCGCGAAAAGAAGAAAATTATAATTAACGATTAATTCATAACAAAGGATAACCGTAACGGTAAGTAGAAGGTTTATGATAAAAAAAAATTAATTCTGGATTAACGGAAAAATCCAATCGAGTAAGAATTCATTCCACTTCCCTAGGTGCGCTGGTTTGCTGCAATGAAGAGCTACGACTAGCAGTTATCTCTCCGCAACTTCCATGTGATAATTGGTTGAATTAGAGATTTCCAATAAAATGACATATGTACGTAACTCGACGTATGGACGTAATGGGACGGGTTATTGCCAACCATCGAATTTGATTGAATACGTCGCTTAAGTTTAAACAAAGTATTCCAAGACTTTTAAAATCACACACTGGAATGTTTGTCCATACAATTTTTTTTTATCATGACGAAAAATGATAGAAATATTGCATTTTTATTTATCACGTGGTTTTCCAGATTCCCGCCTTTATTTTACTGAAATATTATAAGATCACATTAACAAACGTATCCCATACCATACCTATCGTACGTACGATTCGAGTTATCTTTCGTGGTTTTGATTATGACAATTATTTTTCAATATACTTTGCAGATGAACTCCCCGTTATACTTTTTTTCTGTCTTTCTTTATAGTTTATCTATCTTTTAATTATATTTGTTGCGGGGGAAATATTTAGAAGGATATGTTTCTGACAATTTCAGAAATATCGAAAGCAGAATTTGTCAAAATCTCTCTTATAAAGGTTGAAAATTCAGATATAACTATCGCTTCCATTTAATTTATAAACAAAATTATTTTTCATTTATTATAAAATGTATTGATAAAGAAATCCCTATAAATGTTAGTTTTTTTCTTTAGAATTAAGGTGTGTTCGATTAGGGATTGTTCTGTATTAATTTGTTTAACGGGAATACTATCGGAGTCAAAATACAAAAGATATTTCCAGGGAATATATTTGATATCCCTTGAAGTGAACTAACTTAGAGTATTTTATCCATTTTATTGATAAACAACTTAAAGGGTGTCATCGAATTCATTTTAATGAGTACATCATACGGGGATGTGTAAGGTATACGTAAGTAACATTGAACAACATAAAATAATAACATTTTGTTGTCCGCTCCTTATCCAAGATGCATCCTAAAATGAACAAGGTAGATACAGATATCTTTTTTAAGTAACAGACAAAGTGTAACTCGCAAAAAACTTTTTTTTTGTTTTGATCAGGAATCTATCTGAATTCAAATACCTAACCGAATCCTGAGAATTAAGCCTTTAACAAGAAGTTTCATTGAAATATATTGATTAAATGCGCACTAAAAATATTTTTTCATGATATAATTCCACAAATCTGAATTTTTCATAGACAGTATCTTTTTGCCATTGTGTGACCTATCAAGAGTATGATCACCTACACCTATTTTGCGATTCTTATTTTCAATAAACCGTTCACTCCCTACAAGCATTGGCGTCTTTAAACCAAGATCATTTACCTCACCAGAAATAAAATTCAAGTTACGCTACTGTCGATTGATTGACAGTTGGTTGCTTAACGTCCAGTGGCAAATATTTAATGCATAATTAACGTGTAGAGAGCGAGACATTATATCTAAAAGAGGCATCGGATTTAACGTCCCCACTCTGACCGGACGGACTGCGTACTTGTACATCCCGCACACCTAAGAGGTTACTATCGAGACGTGGCGACCAAAGAGACAGTTATGAATCTGGCAGATATACATATACATGAATGTTTATTAATCAGAACATTTGCAACAAGAATGTGTGGCATTAAGACACCGTGCACCTTCACATGATAATATTTCCATGTTCAGTGCACCACTTAATCTGGGTCAAACTCATAGTTGGTATATAATTTTAAAGGTTTTATATTTTGAACAGAACGGAAGAACGGACGGATGCACAGACCAGTAAATATGATATTCACATGCTATCATAAGTTGGTCATAAAACTAAAAAGATCATCTTACTTAACAAAAATTTAATTAAATAGTCCGTACATATCCGTTTTTCATACGTATTTGTATAATTAAACGTCAAATATTTTAGGGAAAAAAACCAATTTCAGAACATTGACGTTATAGTACACCTACGTTTGTACGGGCTCTTCCTTGAATGATCAATCCATGCATCATAATAATTAAAGACAAGATATATATAAACAAATTAACTGATTCAGTAAAGTGTAATCATATTTTTCCTGCAGATGCGTCCTCAATCATTCCATTTGATAAAATTCTACGGAAAGGTGACACAGATGCATAATGATCTGAATTTTTACCTTCGACAAAAGTATCTTAAAATAAATTATAGAAGTATGCTAAAAAAAAAAAAAAGAAGAAGAGGCAAGTCGTGTACACCTTTTACATTCCGGCGTGTTTGAAACTCTTTTCTTGATCTTATAACTCAAAAATAGAATATGATCACGCTTCAGATTCCATTATTTTTATTTGTTCAAACTTAATTTTGATTATTGAGCCTTAAGAATTCATCGTTTGAGAGATAAATATATGGGTCAAGTGAAGTGACGAAGAAATGGTCGGTGTATTTGATTACCGGTAACTGAACTAATTATTCCCTTTAATGTTGTTGTCAATGATATCACCTCAAATTTAATAACAAAATATGTAAAGAACTAAATTAGTCGTTTGTGCTAATTTTTAAATTACATGTGTTCCAACAAAGTATGTGTATTCCACGAGCCAAAACTTCATGCAGTCTATGGTCCCCTCCGTCGTCCTTCAATGCAATAGACCGAGATACGGTCAGATAGGTCGGTTATGTCGAGTAATGTCATTTTATTGGAAATCTCTATTAATAAGGATTTATGACACGAACTATTTGAGAGTGCTGTATTTGTCCGCTTCTTGTTCAGAAAACTAGAAATGAGATTCAAATAACATAACTTGGAATCATCAAATCTTATTGTTTTAATCTTTAAAAAATTTTGTAAATGGGCGTAAAACCTAATTTACCGGTGTTTGAGAGTTGTGGTGTAAACACCAATTAGACAATTAGAAGAGAAATCGGGAGTTAAATTTTCCACAAAAGAAAAACGCGAAAATTATATAATACACCCTGTTTATAAAAGTGATTCATATAAGATTCTCTGTGTATTTGAGATTAAACCTTTCTTCGGAAAGTGTAAAGTTTGAAAACAGGTGGAAAAACCCACTGAATAATAGACTATTAAGAAAGACTCTTTCATTTTTGTCATTTTCATTGGGGGATGATGACACAAGAAAGATAGGGCAAGTGCTCCGGTTCCATATACTGGTAAAGTGTAAATACATAAATATAAAGACACAAAATGTACTACTAGAATGGTAGAATATAACTAGAATAAAATCTGAAGGAGTATGGTTATTTTTTAATGTGAAATACTTACACAATAAATCTGCATCGCAGTCCTCTTCAAACATCCAGGTATTATCATTACCTTAAATACACAAAATAAATAGATAGCCATAATAAAAAGTAAGTTGGAAACAAATCTGATCAAATGTTGTAAAATGTTATAGAAAATAAGAAAGACACCGCAAATGGGGTTTCACTAATTGTTATAAATATCAAAGTAGATATAAAAATAGTCTAATTTATTTGTTTTGTTTTTGTACTTTTTGCGTAATAATTTACAGATAATTCTTTTATCTTCTCCCAACTGGAATTGTAAGAGACCTAACAGACCATAAACAAGAAAAATAAGTGCACGACACCACCTATCAAGACAAAGATCGATAAATCTAAATGAAAACGTCATTTCTTATTTCAAACTAAATCAAATGGGTTTATCTTATTCCAACGTTCTAAATACAGCTGTAATAATATTCGCTGACGATAACGCATCTTATTATCAATAATTAAGCTAATAAAACACCAAAACATTGATGATTTTTTTGTGTGTTTATCAGACTTTGTTGTACAATGTTCACATTCAAATGAAAGAGATGGATAAAACTGATTAAAAATATCCTAATTAGGATTGCTGTCTCGTTGAGTATTCCTCACTTATCCTTTGTAAATACTAAAGGATTTTCTACCCCAGAAATATATGACTGTACCTGAATTTAGCAAAACCTTTCAGAATTTTGGGTCCTTATAATGCGCTTCAACTTCGTATTTCATTTTGCTTTTTTAACTTTTTTTTATTCGAGCGTCACTGATAGTACTTTTGTAGACGAAACGCGCGTTTGGACTAATTAGGTTTTTTAATCCTGGTATTTATGATGAGTTTATTTTAATTTATATCTAAATAACAACGTTCAATGCCGATCAATGTACCGAAAACATGCTTCCCGGAATATCCTGCATCAGATACGCTGGAGACTATAAGCCAAATACAGTAAATAATGGTGAGTATAGCAAATCCAAAACGAGTCTTAAAAAGATTGATGAATGGATTTGTATAAAACGTCTAGTGGCAAATATAACATGTGTATCATTACGAGAACTGAATATGAATCCGGCGTTGTACTATAGACCGACACTCTGAGTCATATTTTAACGTTCCAGTTCTCAAGAATGACATGTTACTCTACCCGGTCACATTATTTTTGACTCCGAACTTAATAGTCTTTGCTCTTTCTCTCTAATGCCTGGTTCTTAGCGGAGAACCACCAATATCAATTTTCAAGACTTTGGTTAGATTCGACAGGGGATCGACTTCACAATCTCCCTCACTGGAATTGAACACGAAAGCGTTACCACGAAACCACTGAAGCGATACGTCCAAGAAGGCAATATCGTTATATTGATTAAAAAATCAAATGACTCATTACTTATTGTGGCATTCAATGCATTATAGCATGGGTCTTCGTCGATAACACCATCACAGTCATTGTCAATACCATCAATCGTCTCTAATCTCGGTATACAGTCCTGAAATTATAATATAAATATATAAGGTATACGATACATGAACTTAATCAAAGTCTACTCCATGCACCTTCAACTCTGGTCGATACAAATTCACATATACGTTTCTATATAATAAGAAAATAGTCAAGCTTATCATTATTTCTTTTGGCTTATAAAAGTTTCGGAAACTGCAATTCATACAATTCATCTTTTGTTGTACTGTTACACCACTTCCCAGGTTAGAGGGATGGTTTGGCTCCAGAAAACATGTTTAGCCTCGCCAAATTATGTATGTGAAGTCCCAAGTTAGGAGCCTGCATTTCATTGGTTGTCTTTTGTTGCTGTGTATCATAATTGTTTTTCGTTTATGGTATTATACATAAATCCGTTAGTTTTCTCGTTTGAATTGTTTTACATTTGTCATGTCGGGGTCTTTTATAGCTTACTATGCGGTATGGGTTTTGATCATTGTTGAAGGCCATATGGTGACCTATAGTTGTTAACTTCTGTGTTATTTGGTCTCTTGAGGAGGACAGTCTCATTGGCAATCATACCACATCTTCTTAATTTTATAATGGAGTCTTCATCACTGACACCGTGACAACAGCATTATCCCTTGATTCAGATATAACTATTATTTCAGTGTTACTATGGCAAATATATCATCCACTATGGGGTTAAATGTATTGGCTTGAAAACATGTAAGAAATAATTCTAGAACCTCATTTATGATATCGTAACAGACTAACCGTCGTTATAATATCATAAACCATCTATTCAGCTACACACTATCAACCAACTTATGTTCACGAGATATTTTTTTTGCGTCTTTCGAAGTAAAAAAAACGGGAAATATAAATCGTCGCGACCATGTCACACAATGAAAATGCGACAAGAAAGTTAACACCGAAAAAGTAAATCACTGGATAAGTAGATTGGGCTTTAACACGAAAAGTTGTTATATCGCAATAGTTAGTTGGTTTGTAGTTCTGAAGGAATCATATAACCCACAAATAAATAAGGTATTTAATTGACATTCAAAAGAACCACACCTTTCTTCTCTTCTTCATATGTGCAGAAAAGAAATTTTTATAGAAATGTCACTGTATACACTCATCCGTACCATCAGCGCCATTACCCACATCATCAGTCTCCTGTCGCATCAAATGTCAAATGGGACTTTGGTGGCCGCGTTGTCTAAGTAGTCGAACTACTGTATCACTAGCCTGTCAATACTGAGGTTGTGAGTTGAATCTCGCACGTAGTAGGTACATTCGACCCCAATCTTAATTGACTAGGATCGTCAGTTTTCATAAAGAAGGTCGTTGGTTCTCTCCAGGCTTCCAGCTTCCTCAACCGATAAAAAATGCCCGCCTCGAAATAGCTCAACAAAGCTGAAAGTGGCGTTAACAAAAACCAACCAATCAATCAATCAATCAATCAAATGTCAAATCACAGTTATTGTTAATATTTGTCAGCCTTCTTTGTATCGGATGTCCAGTTCTCTGTGTTTCAGTGTAAATAGTAATTTTATGCTAAGGTTGTAATACAAACTCATGAACTGAAGACAGTCAAGCATCACAATGTTAAAAGAAAAAGACGAAAAAAATGAAATAAGTGTACAAAAGCATTACTCATGCAGAAAGATAAAGAATTAACAACAAGGAACCCACCAAAAATTATGGATCAACTATGAAGGTAATCCACAGAAATGGAATATACACTAAACAATACACGACAGAACTAAACGAAAGCAACAGCAACGAGAATGAGTTTAAAAAGTAGAGGTCAACCCGGGTGCTCAGAAGGTTAATCGATTCTTGTTGCACTATTGAAATCCGTCGTGTCGCTGATGACATCAATAAATGACATATCCGTTTGCCTTAACCATGGATATCTTTTGAGCATAGACCTTAAACTATTCCTCTCTATAAGATACCTAGTTTATCACATTTAACTCAACAGTTACGCCATCGATCTATGATTCAGCTTTGCACCCCTGAAATCATCATGCAAATGAATGCATCACATTTTCAATAGCAACATTTTGAATTATTCTGTGTACACTAGGCATAAATGGCCTCAGCCATATTTTGGAGTTTTTGGTTTTCAATGCTCTTCAACTTCGCTTTTGGTTCCGTCTTCCAAATGTCTTGATTCGAGTGTACTTGTAAGTATCATGTAAACTAAACGCTTGTCTGGCGTAGTAAATATTCGAGTGTATTTGTAAGTATCATGTAGACTAAACGATCGTCTGGCGTACTAAATGTTCGAGTGTACTTGTAAGTATCATGTAGACTAAACGATCGTCTGGCGTACTAAATGTTCGAGTGTACTTGTAAGTATCATGTAGACTAAACGATCGTCTGGCGTACTAAATGTTCGAGTGTACTTGTAAGTATCATGTAGACTAAACGATCGTCTGGCGTACTAAATGTTCGAGTGTACTTGTAAGTATCATGTAGACTAAACGTTCGTCTGGCGTACTAAATGTTCGAAATAAACTCATCATAGATACCAGATTTGAAATTTTATATTTGCGCCAGACGCGCGTTTCGTCTACAAAAGACTCATCAGTGACGCTCGAATCAAAAAATGTTAAAAAGGCCAAATAAAGTACGAAGTTGAAGAGCAGTGAGGACCAAAAATTCCTAAATGTTTTTCCAAATACAGCTAAGGTAACCTATTCCTGAGGTAGAGTGTACTTGTAAGTATCATGTAGACAAAACGCTCGTCTGGCGTACTAAATGTTTGAGTGTACTTGTAAGTATCATGTAGACTAAACGCTCGTCTGGCGAACTAAATGTTTGAGTGTACTTGTAAGTATGATGTAGACAAAGCGATCGTCTGGCGCACTAAATGTTTGAGTGTACTTGTAAGTATCATGTAGACTATCTTCCTATATCTATAAACGCTCGTCTGACGTACTAAATGTTTAGCCTAGTACCAGTATCGTTGATGAGTTATTACTACACTATTGCATGAATTCATACTTCTTATTTAGTCTTTTCTACTCGCACTTCATTTCAAATCATAACATATAACGATATTTGATCTGTTGTTTTGAATATCTTGACATATTTACACTGTAATTGAAAAAAAAAACATGAAATAAAATAAACCTGAAATAAACAATACCGATTAAAATTCCTTTGAAATTAAAAAAAATACTTCTATAGAATTAATACAATAGAAATTAAGATACCTGTACAATTTGCTGAAATAACATACTTGCAACGTATGCGTAACTGTATCCAGGTAAATTCGAACCATCAGTTTTCTTTGCACTACCGGCAAAAATGTAGATAAATATGTCTCTATCTGTAGTTATGCTATGGACACCAATGCCAATTTCGTGATGAGCAGCCTGTGGCAAAAGTGTACCATCTAAGGTAACTTCTACAACACTCCCAATACTTGAAATATAACCAACAAAGAAAGTGGTACTTGCTTCAAATGGAGTCTCTGGAACTACAAACACGCTATTTGACGTATACTGGTCCGTACTAGGTAGGACAAGATTAGAAGGATTTACACCTATATTTAAAGGCATATACACAGTCACTGATATTTCTTTTTCTGCTAAAATGTTTATTACACATTGCTGTAATGTTAAATGAAAAATTTCAGTAACATAAGAACCAGAATAGTTCAGAGATAGGTACATACTTATACCACACTGAGACGAATTAACGGTCACGTGGTTTTTATTTCCTCTTGACATAATTGTAAGTTTGACATATTGAATATCAGGAAAAGGGGGACTAATATAGTGTTTTCCCCATGTTTGTGTATGTAACATTTGTTCCGTGACAAACCCCTTGTCTTCTGAAAGACCACCACAGAAAACTGCTATAGGTTTATTTGCACTAATTCTACTTCCTGTAATGTCGTCCGTTCCGGTAAATTGATACGTTTCACGTGATTTCATTTTAAAAGTTATCAGCTCGCCGTATCGATATATTCGAAAATTGCTTGAACTGAGAGTATGGTTTGCTCCAAGAGACAACAGGATTCTTACTTTGGTGTTATCCTTTGTAGCAACAATAACACATTTACCATCTTTGCCTTTTATTTCCGTGACCGCAAAATAGTCAAAACCTATGGAGTCTGCCGGGTATACAAGAAAAGAACTTACTGCACTTTCAGTAGAAATATATTGGGCCACTACCAAAATATCACTTGTTGATGTAATCTTTATACCAAACGTTCCGTGAAAAGTCGTATCATACAACAAAATGACGTCATATTTTCTAGCTGAAAGTTGTTTGACATCGCCATAGTTCAGGGTTAAGTTCGTTGTCCAGCCTGAATAACTACTTTCCACGTAAATGGTCGCCGGAGTTGATGTTACTGGTGTCAAAGTTATAGATACATTACTGTATTGGTAGAACTCATTGTCATTCATAAAAGCAAGGAAGAAACTTTTTCCAGCCGTATCAACAGGGCCTAAAATTTAAACATACATGATAAAAATACAAAAAATAACTTTAATGATTAATGTACATTTATGAAAAGAAAAATATAACAAAAATAGTAGCAATTGAGAACATTTAAATGCACCTGTTCAATTCAGTCTGTGATTTTTTATACAAGTAAGTCAAATATGAAAGTAAAATGTATGTCATAAACATTATTTAGAAAGGGGCTTAATTTACAAGATATTTGGGGACCACTAGATTTGTATGACAAAATGAAAATATAAGTAAACAATTAGGGGAAGAACGGGATAAGAATATAAATATATATATTCCTTTGTGCTCCTTAATTTAAACATCTTACTAAGATTCCATTATTTAAGCACACACACTATGTATTGGCGGCATATCTTGTGTAGCCAAATAATATATAGCCTGTTGGTGATTTACAGCATTATATATTTGGTAGGTATAGCCCCCGTCTTTCACTTTATTCACATGTCCTTAGTCAGAAGCCTGTTGATAAGTGGTTGACGTTGGTTGCTGTCTGTCATGTTTGTTTTTTTTTCGCTTATTGTTTTGTTAAAAATCAGGTCGTTGGTTTTTCACGTTGGAATTGCACCTTGCATCTGGCGTAAAAAATATAAGACTGGACTTTTTTTTTGTTGTCATTTCGGGCTTTTTTTTAGCTGACTACTTTTAAACAGTATGAGATTTGTTCGTAGTTGAAGGTCGTACGATAACTATAGTTTTTTACATCCACTTCGTTTGGACTCTAGTGGATAGTTGTCTCATCGGCAATCTTACCAAATCTCCCTAATTTTTATATGGACGAGTTTCTAGCTTTGAAAATTGTTTGTTGATCATTATAATTCGTTGTTTGTCTGACTGTTCTGTTGAGTGTCTGCTTTATTTATTGGCATTATTTACATGCCTGATCAATACTCCTTTTTGCGGCCGTTTGTGCAGCATAACAGGTCATCGCAGTCGTTTTTGCAGCATTACAGGTCATCACAGCCGTTTCCGTAAAATGATTCTGTCATTTAAGAATCAACAACTCATTTCACAAAAAAACCTTACGAGAAAGTCATGCACATTTCAGTACAACTTACGATCTATTTTACCGGTAAGATTTTTTGTGAAAAGAGCCGCTGTCTGATGCCGATTGTGGTACGTCGTCAAAGTTCTAAGGGCATAAAATCGCGTGATAAATGTCAGAATCCAAAATATCGAAGAGGTGTGTATCGTTCAGAAATTGATAAACAACTGCGATTATTCTTCTAAGAGAACTTTGTGTCATGGTTCTTTTTGTTAGTTGGTTTTTATACTTTATGTCGATCTAATTAGTCAACTGTTACGCCGTTGTCCTAGGTTAAGGGGAAGGTGAAACGCTTGCAAACATGTTTATCCCCACCAAATTTTATATGTGCTTGTCCCACTTATTAGTTTTTACATAGATCAGGCTGTTGGTTTTCTTGTTTGCATTGTTTAACATTTTGTCATGTCGAGGACTTTCATAACTTACTATTAGTATACGGAGTGGATTTTTCTAATTGTTGACGGCCGAATGGCATTTTGGTATCTGATGGGTAGTTATATCGTTGTCAGTCATACCATTTTATACATGGAAGTTCCCATCAAACTTTTTAAGGATTATATAATACATTTAATATACCTGAGTTTGCTGTATCTGTATCAGTACAATCCAAACCAGGATCTGAAGTATGAAAGTAGTAAATTAGACATCGTATTATTACCTGAAGTAGAATTCGAACAGAAAATCAACATTAAATATTCCATTGTTTACTGAAAAGGCGCATATTAAATTCACTATATGTCCTTTATAATGTTAAAATCAACAACAACGAAACCAAAACAAGGCAATGCAATGCACTTTCCATATATCATGGAATTCGAAACAAAACTGATGCTAAGTTAAACATTATTGAATCGGTTCAACGTTTACAGAGTTCTGTTTTCTCATCAAAACCGTTGATATAAGAAAATAAAGTGACAAATTGACAATTTTTTTGTTTTCACAATTATTGATAAAACTTTTTTCCCCAGAAAATTTCAAAAACCGATTTTTGAACTTAAACTTGAAACATTTACACGGTCTGATTAAAATTTTATATTCTTTCCAAGAAATGAGGATAATGAATTCTCGTCTTTAAAATTTGGCGCTGCTTTTTGTACTCGATTTCCGCAAAATAAATTTTGACACCTTTGTTTGATTACACAGTTTTTTCTCACTTTCCGACTTGGTAAGATTTTCTGAACCGTATAAACTCATTTGCTTTGTAAATGAATATTTTTTATCGGATACTCTAACAGTTTTTGCTATTTCTTATATTTAATGATAAATTAGAGTTCAAACACGCGTATCGTTACTTTGGTTGACTAGTATAATACGAATTTCGATGCGCACGGGCCTCGGTAACCGGGTGTGGTCTTAGAAGTTCATCTACTGTCAACACTGAGGATGTGAGTTCGAATCCCGCACGTGATAGGTGCGTTCGAATCCAATCTTAATTTACTAGGATTGTCAGTTTTCCTGCTGAAAGTAGGTGGTTCTCTCCAGTCACTCCGGTTTCCTTCAATGACAACGGACCGCTAATATATAGGCAATAGTTTTGAAAAACCATTAACAATCAATCATTACTCAATCGATGCTGACTTGCCACAAGAAGATAATGGTTGGAATATTATATCACATACATATAAAACGTAAGCGAATGTTCGTTTTGGTGCCTTATGATAATTTTTATCTGAGAAGCTCGGGGTCAAAAATTATTTAAAAACCTAAATGCATAAATCATATGAAAATATCAAATTCGAAAAGACCAAACAGAAGAAAAAAAAACAAACAATATAACACGAAATTAACGCTTTTCTGAATTACTCTTCATCAGAAACGCCAAAACTAAGAAAATTGAAGGCCAATGTGTATTTTAATTCTTTAAAATAAATTCTACAGCTATTAACTGATAACTTAATAAATTTATATAATAAACCATGAACTGATAAGATAATCACGAGCATTTCTGGTATTCATATTTACTTTAGTCTATAATTTTCTAGATATTCCAGTGTGTCTTCGGTAAGATATTTTTTAGTTCAACATATTCTTACCTTCCAAGTTGATGCAAACATCTTCATCAATGTATCCGTCACAATCGTTATCCTCATAGTCAGCTGGTATCATCGGCGATTGAGTACATGCCTACAAGTGTGTATATTAAGTCATGACATTGAGATGAAAAACAGCAATAAAAGCGCTGTTTTTTGCTTTTTGTATTTTTTTTTTTTTTTTGGCTGTGCATGTACTGATTTTGTGTCATGGATGGATACCCATATCTTTTCTTTTCTATTGAATGAAATCAAAACATCTAATATTGCGTTTTACGCATTCTGATGTATATAGAAAAGGAAAAAGAAAAATATCCATCTTCGACCAACGATTATTCTCCCTAGATAAATTTCACTGCGCAAGGACAGGATCTAAAGGAATTTGGTTTATTTCACTGTGTTTCTGAACGACTGAAATCGACACCACAACAAAAATTTTACGGACGCCATCACGAGTTGGTTGACCTTTATGGAATATCTGTATCACATATGACGACGGATATTTCCTAAATTATCGTAACCACAATCCTGTCCTCTTTTCCTAGAATGTGACCTACCGAATTTGACTTATTACCGCATTTGTACTAACATGAGCAGCACGATGGATGCCACATGTTGAGCAGGATCTGCTTTCCGGAGCAGCTAATACATCTCCGGTTTTTGGTTCGTGTTGCTCAGTCTTTAGTTTTCTATGTTGTGTTATGTATGTATACTGTTGTTTTCATTTGGTCGTGTTTTTCTGCCACATCATTGTCAGTTCGTTTTTGACTTATGATATAAAAATAAGGATATGTGATATGTTTGCTAATGAGACAACTATTCACTAAAGTTCAAATGAAGTAGATGTAACTAATTATAGGCAACCGTACGTCCTTCAACAATGAGAAAACTCATACCTTATAGTCGGCTATAAAAGGCCCCGACATGAACATATGCAACAATTCAATTGAGAAAACTAACGGCCTTATTTATTACAAAGCAATTAACGGAAAACAAATATAACAGAAATGAACCAACGACAATCACTGAACTCCAGGCTCTTGACTTGGGACAGGCACATATAGAATGTGGCGGAGTTGCACATGCTTGAAGGCGAAAACCCTCACACTTACCTGGGACAGTGGTGTAACAGTACGACATAAGAAGAAACTATAAAAATCAGTTGAAAAGGGCTTAACTCATCAGATCAATATAAAGCAGAAAAACATCTAACAAAAACACAGACCGGATGTGGCAGGGTATTTATGCATCCCGAAAAAACAAAAATGACACAAAGTACAGGTCTGATAGTGCTCAAAGTCAATAACAACTAATAAATAAAATCATGTATTTAAGACTAAAATATCAACCAGTACACATCCAACATCCAATGGAGTTAGTGTAATTATAAAATTTCAATCCTGGTATCTATGATGAGTTTATTTACAACCACTGGGTCGGTGCCACTGCTGGTGGAATTTTTATTCCCAGAGGGTATCACCAGCCCAGTAGTCAGCACTTCTGTGTTGACTTGACTTATCATTGATATGTTCATAATTATAAATCAACTGTTTACAAATCTTGAAATTTTTTGAAATACTAAGGCTTTTCTACCTCAGGAATAGATAACCTTAGCTGTATTTGGCAAAACTTTTATGAATTTTTGGTTCTCAGTGCTCTTCAACTTCGTACTTTTTTTGGCCTTTTTAACATTTTTTGATTCGAGCGTCACTGATGAGTCTTTTGTAGACGAAACGCGCGTCTGGCGCAAATATAAGATTTCAATCCTGGTATCTTTGATGAGTTTATTTACAGTCGGTGAAAAAAAGAGAATTTGATTATCCCTTTGGTATCTTTCACCTCTCTCTTCACTAAGTTTTACGGTCACCGTCATGAATTGGTTGACCGATACGACAAATCTGTGTCTCAACTAACTCATAACCGATATGTATTCGCAGTCTTAAATCTTTAGATACCAAAATAATCGTCTAATTTGTAATTTTATCGATTGAGTCTTATTCTCGACTATTATTCTGAATTCAGCACAAGTTACTTCTGAAAATTAACACTGAATCAAAGTGTGCCTGTGAGCCTAAATAAAAGAAAACGAAGAGAGTGACAGGACATATGAGAAACAAGGTGATGCACAAACAAAGGAGTTGGTAAGCATTTTTTCAGAAAAAATTGACATTGCTTTAACTCATGCAACCGTGAAACGACATCAGCCATATCATTCTGCTTCCCTGGCAGATGAATTGCAACAAGTTGAAAATTGTAAGTAGCAGACAGCCAAAACAATTCGCGCAAAAATGACATAAAAAGTTTGTTCTTGGAGGTACACTTATTGATACAACCAACAGTTGATGAATTATCACAATAAATATATACACGCTTATTTTGCCAACATTTAGCCCAACGCTTGGCCGCCAAAGCCACTGCAAATGCTTCTTGCTCATTAATATGCAAAGTTTGCGCAAATGGGAAATCCTCTTTCCAATTTACATAAAACCAATCGGTACCAAAAACTTCCCCTGCACCTGTTTTGCAAGCATCAGTATAAACTGAGGTGACAAAATCAGTGTTAAGTAAGAAAGATTTCCCATTAAAAGTGGACATGAAATTGTACCACCAATGAATATCATGCAAAATATCCCCGCATAAGCGCATTTTGTGCCAATCATGCTTAAGCTTCGTAATGCCATCAATGATTCTCCGAAGAAAAACTCTTCCGCCGCGAACCACTGAAGAAGCCCAGTTTAGTTTTCCCGCCAGGGACTGCAGTTGTTTCTTAGAAACATGCTTGCGCTGCTGAAAATCTGTCAAATCTTTCCTTAACTGCTCTAGTTTTGTGCTAGGTAATCTTAATTCGAATGTTGTGGAGTCTATCTCCACACCTAAAAATACTTATTTCTGGCATGGGTCCAAGACCTTGGACCAACTTATTGCAAAGCCTAATGTCTTCTTAATAGATTTCTGAGATTGGCAAACACCGGTAAACTACTGTTGCCTATATATATATATATATATATATATATATTATACACCAACACGAAATTAAAATTTTATGACTAGTCAAAAATCCATTGTTTGTACTGCTGTTTACCTTTCAGAATATTTTTGGTATACGTTTTGAATACTGTAACTAGATTCTTAACATGCAAACTGGAATTGTGCTTACCTCATTTAATACATTTAGCCCATGGTTTAAAGGAAAACGGTAATGATTTCCGTAATATGCAAAAAACGTGAATGACGAATTAGGATTCTGTAAGTAAAAACTATCATCCTTGTATTCGGTAATTTTAACGCCAGGTATTAATGATGCTAGGAAATAATATTTCCGTTTATCCCCAATGATGATCTGAGTTTCTACATGTGCTGTTCCAGGGATACTTGTCACAGTTCCAGTAGAACTGTGAGCATCAATAGTAGTTGAATATTTGTCCTCATCGTGGGAAATAATATAAATAGGCACATTTCCAAAATCCAGTGTGGGCACAACAATGTTCGAAGACCCTAGCCATTGCTCGAAAGGAGACAATGTCAGAATCGAATTGAATTTAGGACAAACAATATCTTCTGTCATTTCAAGGTCAACTGTTGCAACTGCGATTGGTTTGTTACTATCGATGACAATTCTGTCTAAATTTGTTATAGACCTCGTAACCCAATCTCCCGGTTTTTGTAGAATAATTTGATCCATTGAAGACAACTCCACTCGTGTATTACCTTTGGTAGCTACTATTTTTAGAATTCCGCCATGTTGGCTAAAAGATGTAGGCATGAAATATCTAGTTCCGAGAGTTTCCGAAGGCAACAAAGGACGCGTTACACCATTTTTAATATTATGTATATTCGTCACTACTGTAGAATGAAAAACAGAGAATGGTTTATTTCCTTTAAGGAATGTTCCTGACAGATCGCCTACACTTTCATACGTTACTATATCACCACTGTTCACTACAATGACAAACGTTGGGTCGACTACCTCTGAACCATTCTTTCCGTATACTGGTGAAATCGGGACAACCTTTAGCGCAAACTGAATGCTTGTCGAATCATGACCACCTACAATTGTAATGCGACATGCGCTATTGTAGCGACAAAAACCTATGACATGGTACTCAGTACCCAAATTTTCTGTTGGTATGAAGTAACTAGCGTCAACTAACTGGTATTTGTGTGATGTTTCCGTCAGAAAAAACACATCAGCAGATGCCGATATGCTACGAATTTGTTCATGATTCTCTATAGTTAAGCTATTTCCTGGAAAAAGATTTTTTTTGTAGGTATTCCCAGTAGTTTCTATATCAACACTAGTAGATTCAGTTGTTGATGGGTTTATTATTCTGAAAGATTGGGTTGTGTCAGAAGAACCGGTTATGTTGACAAAAACAGGACGGAAATGTTTGCCTACAAAATCTTCGCAATCTGTGAAAAATAAAAAGAATCATAGATATTCGTCATTAATATATGTTTACATTGTTTTTATTTCATTGTAGACTAATTATATTTACATGTACTTATTTTTTTACATTCGTATATTTATGGGTCGATTTCGAATTGACGAAGTTTTATTACTTTTATGCGTATATTCGTTCTCTCTGCGTTTTACGTTTGATGTATGCTTTCAATACACTTTTATATGAGCAAGAACCAGTAAGATTGAACATACGGATATATATTCATATTTGAGCGTCACTGAGTCTATTGTAGATAAAACGTGCGTCTGGCGTAGGAAATTATTAGCCTGGTATCTTTGATGAGGTTTTTTTCAACAATAGACAAATGTATGATTCCATGATCTTAATCATTCTAAGTCTAGAAAATATATGATTTACACTGGACTGGGTGTGTTGTCTCTTTGACAAATTCCCAAACCCATTCTCAATTCTATAAACTTAAGCAAAGGTAAATCATCAAAACATTAACATACAGCGTTCCCCAAGTGCCTTCCGGTATGAATTTGCCGTTATCAAGAACGCTTATAGTCAGCAAAAAATATAGGAAAGCAAAAGAATTACTTCCTGGTTTTGTTAATCGAGGATGCATTAGAGGGAAAACGGTACTATTACATTTTCCCAGCATTAGGTTGGC